GTGAGACTCATCACACTTGAATATTCCAACAATCTCCCCCTCAAGTGTGAAAACCCAACATTGATATGCTTCCCCTCAACCGAGAACCTCAGGGCCCAAGTACTCAATCCGCCTCCTAGCCAATCACCAGGCTAGCTCGAGCCCAACCCGGCTCTGATACCACTGTCAGGCGGGTCCAGGGGAAGCCCGTGGCGGGGGGCCATCACCAATGAGCCAAGTTACTCCAAGTGGGTCTGACACCACATCTAAACCAAAAACCTTAAGACTTTGGGTTCATGGGTCCTTCCACTTATATATTTTTTTCTTAGCCCATTACCAACCAATGCGAGACTCATCACACTTGAATATCCCAACAATCTCGGTGAGGATCGAACCCGGTACACTGAGGCTCTGATACCATGTAAATAACCAATTCAACCCAAAAGCTTAAAACTTTTAGGTTAAATTGGTTCTTTACAAGATCCGTTTACAAATTTTTATAAATTACACTAAGTATGACGATCATACACTCTTGACTGAAGTATGACCAATCATATTTTAGTGTAATTTATAAAAATTTATAAATAAAAAATTTGTAAATATAATATTTCCCTACAAACAAAAGGTGATACGTTATTGTAAAGCAACATTGACTATCTTTCAATATTTCGAATCAATTAATTGTACACGACATCGGTGCTTCGTAGATCATACACTCTTCAAGATATTTTCTTATTCGCTTCCAAATTTCTTTGGGTATTCCTTATTAGTTAATGAGATTATCGTTTTTCATATTGTAAAAGGGATATTTTATCTTTTATATATACATAAAATTATATGAGACTTATATAAAGAGAAGAGAAAAAAAAAATTTGATCTCTACACATTTTTATGTATATATAAAAAATAATTTTTATCTCTACACCACTTTTATGTATATATAAAAAATAAAATTATTAATCCCTTAGTTAATTGTACTTGTTCACATGTTAGTTTTTGGTACACACCTCTTGATAGTTTATTTTTACATGGAACTAGATCCGTATTGAAAAAATCTCTACTCCAATGCATTCTAATTAAATGGGTGTTTATTGTGAAATTTAATATCAGAATCGCATGGCATTGTTGGACAAAACATAAAATTAAAATTATATGAAATTAACAGTACATTTCAATGGTTGATAAAGAAACAACTCGGTTCAGATCAATCTCCTCCTCATAATTATGCTATTTAATTAGCATTCGTAGAAAGTACATCTAATGAATGACGATGAATTCAAAGCATCCTGTTTCGTAGAAAAACAGATATTCCTTCTCATGACTAAACAATGACTTGATATCATGAGAAACTATTTTGGTTCAGCTTAATCATGTTCGATCCCCAGGCCTATTTTAGTGATAGGTTCTATGCGCGCGTACAAATGTTGCACTTAAAAGTTTTTGGTCCAATATTAAATTAAATAATTCAAAGTTTCACACCATTTATATCCCAAAAAAAAAAAACTGTAACAGTAAATAACACAATTATCAGAGAGATGATTCGTAGGAGCAAATTAATCTCTCTCTTTTTAGTATATATGCAACTAAATTAGTTTATAAATTTAAAAATTATAAAACTTATTTTTTTTAATATTTCGTTAGGAGATATTATAGATAATCTTAATATTTATAGTTATTGTAATTTATCTAAATTGGAGGTCGTATGACCGTCACAACGGATGTGCAGCATTGTGCGGCAAATAAATGTTGTCGGTCGCTAATTTCAGCTCGATCACATGAAAGGGAAATTTTGCTAAAGCCTTCATATATATGGTGAGGAAAAAATAAAATAAAATTGAAGACTATTGAGTGGTGCGTATTTTTAATATCACGGGAGCAATATTATTACTGTTTAAAATGAGACACTTATATTTAATAAGATAATAATTAATTATTTCTGTTTTTCTCTTTCCTCGACGTTGATATCAGTGTTTAAAACTCCGTCCCTCTCCCGGGTTGACCCGGGTGAACCCTGACCCCTCCCCTATGAGGGTTGGGGTCACAAGTTGGACCTTATATGCACATCGATCCCTTCGACTTCGAAAATCCGGCCGGGTTTCAGTGACTCCAGATTAGAGGGGTCAAAAGGGGTCACTGCATGTTTTTTTAGAAAAAAATTCAAGAAATAACGTCGTTTTATTAAATAAAATAAAATAAAAATGCTTGCAAACCTAAATCTAATCATTCTCCTCTCTCCAAGCGACGTAGATGTCTTCAATCTTCACCTCGCTGCCGTGAATCTTCTAGAAAAGAAAAGAATTTTACCCATTCAAATGAAATCCTTACAGTCGTTGATGGAAAACAAAAACGCATTCTTACTTCTTTGAAATTTTCCCTTGTCAGTGACCTTCTTAAAAGAGGTAGAACCGAGTCAACATAGTGACCCCATTAGAATACGAGTTTTGTACTTTGGTATTTTGATACTTTAATTATGTTGTGTAATATTGACTTGTGGTTGTAATTGGTGAATTATGTTAAGCATATTTTGGATCTTTGATGATTGGTTTAGTTTTTAATATTTTCATATAGGATATATATATTTATAAAATTTTAATATATAAAACCAGGTCAGCGTAATGACCCCTTGACTCCCGATTAAACCCGCCGTGACCCTTGACCTCGACCGAATCGATAGCTGGACCGGATTTTTAAATATCGGTTGATATATTCTTATTGAAAGGATGTATGTAACGACTAACGAGGCGACCTTAGAATTAAATATATTTTCTATTGAATGAGGATTGACTTTCAATGCTGTACCTAAGGAGTATATCTATGGTATAATGAGAACATGTACTTCTTTATCAAAAATAAGAAAAAGTGGGAACACGATGGATAAAATAAAAAAGTTAAATATATTATATTTTTCATATTTAATAAAAGACTAAATTTTTTTTTTGGTGCTCAACAAATTTCACGATGTCTGCTTTAGTGTCTAGCAAATAAAAAGGTTTTTTTTTATCCTTAAGAAATTCAAAATGAACCCATTTAGTTAAAATCGTGGTTCCTCACAAATTCAAAAAAGACCCATATTAGTCTCTACAAGGACTAATATGGGTCTATTTTGAATTATTTAGGAACCACAATGGACCTTTTTATTTGCTAGAGATTAAAACGAGCAACGTGAAATTTACCGAGGAAAAAAAGATATTTACTCTTAATAAAAAATCCATTGAGTCTTCGGTACTCTGGTTACATTGAAGCTAGTTTCATACCTAAGTGACCACGTGTCTTCATCAGAATATCGGTCTTCTTAGCAGTTGGCACTTAGCACAATTTTCCACACCTGTAATTGTTATGCACAAACTCGTTATACTTCCTCAACTAATCTTATTTTCTAGTATTTTTAGTATTTTCTTCATTGAATGCATATATGATGATTACGTTCCTTTTTTTTTTCCGAATTATTATTATCTGTCTATCTATTTTCTATAAAGATTTTTTTTTTGGGAAACAACTATAAAGATTCTTTTATTATTATTGTCACAGAACTATTTTGTAATTTTGATTTTCATTATATATATATATATTTATTTATTTATTTACATATTTTTTTTCCATTTATATATATATATATAATCTTTTATATCTTTTTAAGTAACAACCAAAGTGTATATGTTTTTAATGAATAAAAAATATTTTTTTCACTATAAAAACATATATTATTAAAATATTTAAAAATTATTATTCTATATGTATTTATAAACAAAATTTAATGTTAATATTGTAAGTTCTAGTGGCAAGAATATTTAAATGAATTCTCATGAGATAATTTAATTTATTGAGATAGCTTTATTGGCAGAATTGTTAAAAAATGCAATGAAAATATAGAATTTCAAATCTTATAATACACACTATTCCTTTTCCTAATTCTAGTGTGTTTTTTTTTTTTGTGATTTTTTTCCAAGACTTACCTTAGAACCAAAAGAAATATTAAATAAACAGTATACTTTTATTTAATTCATACATATGTCATCGATGATATATTTTTTCTTGATATTGATAAACAAATATTAACATAAAATGCATAATATTTTTATAAATAGATAACAATAAAATAAAAAAATTGGTTAGTACATAATATTTTTAAAGAAATGTTGTCGAATGTAATTGAGATAGAGTTAGAAAATCATTTTGTGCTAAATGAGTGTAACTAGTTAGTAACACAGAATGTGGAGAGATAATCTGAATTCAATTTTCGTCAAATACATCATTGTATAGAGGTGATGAGTAGTTTTAAGTTTTAACTGTCACTAAACCTCGACTACTCAGGGGCCCGACTCTCCTCAAAGAAGTGATTAGAGACAAATATAACAAAGAAAAAATATTCTGTAAAATGAAAAAAATAGAGTAACAATTGTAAAAATTTGTTACCTTATAAAAAAAATTCAATCAATATGTCAAAATAAATATAATGGCTTTTCATTTAAATTATGAATGTAGAGTTAAAAAGTATTCATACAAATATTGTTAAGAACAACTTTAAAAGATCAAATAATTTTTACCAAAAAAAGAAAGATCAAATAATATAATTATGAAGTCTTAAATGTTAATCTCTTAATGAGAAATATATTTAATACTTTTAATCAAATCTTATTTTGAAAGTATTTCGATTGTACTTTTTTCTCAAAGTAAAATAAATTAATTTGAGTATACATTAAATGTTTATTTATAAAATAAAAATTTCATTATCATACACATTTATTTTAAAGAATTTGTACCTCACAAGTTAGTTTTTAAAATTCTATACACACCTTTCACATTAAGGATGCGGGTGTGTTTCAATTTACCTTATTACACCCAACGACCTCCGCGGGCATTAAAGAGGGTGGATTCGAAACTTAGTAATCAACTTACGAAAGAAGAAAATGAAACTTAAATCATTGAAAATTTCAACAACACCTACCATCTTTACTCCTTCATAATTGTCCCACTTTCTGTTTCACCATTTTTCTTCTATAAATCACTTTTTTTCTCTCTTAGCTTCCCCTCACATACAACTCACAATAAGGTTCGTTACCCCTCTCTCTCTCTCTCTCTCTCTCTCTCTCTCTCTCTCTCTCTCTCTCTCTCTCTCTCAGTACGTACCTTATCTCTTAATAATAAACTACTTGCTTGTCTTCTTCCTCTTGCATTGCTTCTTCTACAATTCTAACTTTTAATTAAGTTTCAACACACATTGTTTGCATGCAAACAGATCTCATTCATCAGAATCATATCCAGCTCTTTTTTTCTTTTCTTTTAACACACTTCATTATTTGGTCAGTGTTTTATTTATTTATTTTTTCTGTGTATGCTCAGTGTTGATTTTACTGTTTTAATAAGCAAATTTTCAATTTTAAAGCTGCTACATTCAACTTTATACTCCATTTTCCTTACCAGGCCTCTCTCTACGGTGAAAGAGGGTGAGAAGAGGAGTTAATTTTCCGGTGTTGGAAGGTGCAACTAATAAAGGTACATTTGGGTCCTTCAAGCACATGGATACAGCAACGGCTTTAATGGTGCTATCAGCAATAGCAGCCTATTTAATATGGTTCTCAATCATCACTCGTTCACTCAAAGGTCCACGTGTCTGGCCCCTATTGGGTAGCCTCCCGGGTCTCATCCAGCACGCTAATCGCATGCACGACTGGATCGCTGACAACCTCCGCGCGTGTGGAGGCACGTACCAAACCTGCATCTGCGCCATACCCTTCCTCGCCAGGAAAGAATGTCTCGTGACCGTCACGTGCGACCCCAAGAATCTCGAGCACATCCTCAAGCTGCGCTTTGACAATTACCCAAAAGGCCCCACGTGGCAGGCCGTGTTTCACGACTTGCTCGGCGAAGGAATCTTCAACTCGGACGGAGACACGTGGCTGTTCCAGCGTAAGACAGCCGCACTGGAATTCACCACACGAACCCTGCGCCAAGCCATGGCGCGCTGGGTGAGCCGAGCCATCAAGCACAGGTTCTGTCCAATCTTAGCCGCGGCTCAGGAAGACAATAAGCCAGTCGATCTCCAAGACCTCCTGCTTCGGCTCACTTTCGACAACATATGCGGCCTGGCTTTCGGTAAGGACCCACAGACTCTCGCCGTGGGTCTTCCCGAGAACGGCTTCGCCGTGTCTTTTGACCGCGCCACCGAAGCCACACTACAGCGCTTCATTTTGCCCGAAATCGTGTGGAAAGTAAAGAAGTGGCTTGGGCTTGGAATGGAAGTGAGCCTGTGCCAAAGCCTCGCACACATCGACCACTACCTCTCCAACATCATCAACGACCGAAAACTTGAATTGCAGAACAAACAACAGACTGGCAGTGGGGCCCTCCACGACGACTTGCTCTCACGATTCATGAAGAAAAAAGAATCCTACTCGGACGAGTTCCTCCAACACGTGGCACTCAACTTCATACTCGCTGGACGGGACACGTCATCAGTGGCGCTTAGCTGGTTCTTCTGGCTCTGCACCCAAAACCCTAGGGTGGAGGAAAAAATCCTGATCGAGCTCTGCACCGTTCTCAAGGAGACACGTGGCGATGATGTCTCCAAGTGGATGGAGGAGCCTCTGGTTTTCGAGGAGGTTGATCGCTTGGTGTACCTCAGGGCGGCGCTGTCGGAGACGCTTCGGCTTTACCCGTCGGTGCCGGAGGACTCCAAGCACGTGGTGAACGACGACGTTTTGCCAAGCGGGACTTTCGTTCCGGCGGGTTCGTCTGTGACGTATTCCATTTACTCGGTTGGGAGGATGAAGTTCATTTGGGGCGAGGACTGCCTTGAGTTCAAGCCGGAGCGGTGGCTCTCCGCCGACGGCGACAGGATTCAGCTGCAAGATTCTTACAAGTTTGTTGCGTTCAATGCGGGACCCAGGATTTGCTTGGGAAAGGACTTGGCCTATCTGCAGATGAAGTCCATCGCCGCCGCGGTGCTGCTGCGCCACCGCCTCACGGTGGCTCCTGGACACCGTGTGGAGCAGAAGATGTCGCTGACACTGTTCATGAAGTACGGGCTGAGGGTGAATGTGCACCCCAGGGATCTCAGGCCGGTGATGGAAAAGATAACAAACAAGGGTGACTCCTGCCGTAAAGAATCTCCAGTTATAATGGCATAAATGAAGCTTGCTCAAAAGGGGTTTTTTTGATTTACGCAAAATTTGCGTAATATAAAATTAATCACATGATGGTGTGTAGTTAAATAATTATAAATCATAAAAATGATTATGTATTACATAAAGTTTATATAGTTATTTAATATTAAATGATGGTGTGTCATTTCTTTTATTTTAATTTACACATTTTGTATAAATAGAATTTACTCTAAAATTTCTTATTTGATATTATGTATACTATATATTCTCTTGAAGTTAAATAAATAGTAATGCTGGAGATTATCTTTGTGCTGAAATTTTTCATGACGGTGCCTTCGTAAGTAAGTACTACGGCAACTGTTTGGTGCTACCAATAAAGGCTTTCCTGGCTATATGTATAGTTTTGTAATTTGGGTTTCTTTTTTTTTTCTTTTTCTGTTTTGGATGACTGTAATTTGGGTTTCTAGTTTTAGTGTACATGTATATAAATCACATTCTTAATTGCCTAATTTCCAGACTTAGATTTGCACATCTTTGCTTTTTATATATATTATTGCTCAACAATAATGATGCGTGTCGCACTCGCACATGGCTTGTATATATACTTAAATTTGGTAGAAAGACGGTACGCTTTACATTTAATATTTTTCCTATCTGGTTTCGTTTTGTTCTTTTCTCCCCGAAGTTAAGTTCTTTTAGTTGTCTATTTTCCATTTATATATATATATATATATATATATATATATATATATATATCCTCCATGTTGGGGTGTCAATTAGATCTCCTTCTATAAAACAAATACGTTTAAATTTAATTTAATAAGTATTTATCCCGTCTCGCGCAGAATATATTTGTATTCATCTCTTGATGCGTACGAACTACGAAGGAGGGTATCTTGTCCATTGGTTTGCTACTTGTCTCATAAATTTGACCATCTTTTAGTCATGTAAATTGGTGCTTCTAATTGCGTACTTTGAACCTTTATTTAATTAAGACTTAACAGTGCCTGCGTGGCCAAATTAACTTATAGTAGAAAGTACATGACCTCGATCTCTTTTGAAATGGTACAACGGAGTTAATTATTGATTACTCTTACGATTTGGACATGGTTCAATAACAGAGATTCTCGGAAGCATGATTTATATAGTATATCTTGATTAAAACAAGATTACTGAAGAAATAATTATATCCAGCACATTCCAAAATTTATGGGTAGGAATGTAAGCAGATTAGGCCGACATATTGAAACTTATGGTCTAGTTTATATTAGATTAGATTTAACCTATTTAAAAAGTAGGTCATAGATTTTTTTATACGTATCGAACCATAAACTTACGAGCTGGCCTATATCATATTATTTATTTTAAATAAAATAAAAAATTATTATTTTAATCGTTCTGAATAATAAAATAATACTATTTTAGTTATTTTTTAATTATTAAATGTTTAATATATTTAAACAGTCTAATAAATCTAGGCAATACTTTTATATTTTAAATATAAATAAGCTGAAACTTATAATTTTGATTTACACAAACTAATCGATCAAGTCACAATTTTTTTTTACGTAAAATTAACTTATTTAAGCCAAAATCTAAACTAGTGTAATCTTTTTACAGCATGTTTAAAAGCTTAAAATTGACCGCACAGAAAGCAGAAATTAAACTTACCATAACTGATGGTTAGTCTCAAGAAAGTGTGGCAACAAATTATTTGGTTTTAGGGAATCGGATCTCTTAAGATACTTGGGATGATATTGGAATTTGCCTGATATAGTGATTCAGAATAAAATATTTTAATGGACGATAATGACTTCGATGTGATTCTGGAGTAGTATCCTTTTTCAAGTAATGGGACAATAAATACGGTAAGTGATCTTCATACAAAGAAATTTATTACCCTCGAATTGAGGATATCTACAGGCAATTCACAAAATTTGGATTTGGAATTTTTACGTGATAGAGTGGTTATGTGATAATATTATTTGATTATAATTATTTAAAGTTTTTAACAACCTTAATTTTAAGTAAAATTAGAAGGAGGCTAAAAAATCATAAAATATAAGATCATGGTATAAAAAAATCATAAAAAAATAAAAGCATTTGAAATATTGGTAAAATTATTTTGATAAAAAAATCATAAAAACATAAAATTGTAGTAATAAATTGAGATTTTAACAACCATGCAACTATTTATTCAAAAATTATATATTTTTCTCTCTCTTATCTCATTATTAATGAGTGATTATAATCAAATAATATGATCACATTATCATTTTTTCACATGAGATGATTCATTCTCACAAAATTAAGCAAATAATAACCATGCATCAGCATCTTGCAAAATTGAAGTCACTTTCCCTGTTTCATAACAATTATTTGGCGGTATAGATTTAGAACAGGGGTAAAATGATAACTTTTTCTTTAAAACAATAGCCATATAAATTAAAAAAAATTTGTTTTTGGTGGACCATATAAGTAAAAAATTTATTTACAAATCTGATGTCATTTAAAGTATAAATGAGTTAGGTGACTTGTTAGAGGCCTTTAACCTGACCTAATTTTATACTAGCTTGGACTGACTCATTTTAAAAATAATACAGGCTTGAACTTATTAAAAGACTTCTTTAGAAATCAAATACAAGCTTATTTTAGAAGATATGACCTATAAGACTCTAAGGTTAGTCTTTATTTTTTAATAAATAATATCTTATCATTTTTAATAACATAATATCTTATTATTTAAAAAAAAATATCTTATGATTTTTTAACTTCTCTAATTCATTCTAATCTTTTCTTTTCTCACTTAATAAATACTTTTTTCCTAATCCTAAATTCCATCTCCGCCAATTCTTTTCCCTCCTCCGCCAAGTTTTGGTATCAAATTGCTTATATGAATTTATAAAAAAAAAAAAAAAAATTGCTTATATGAAGGTGCCTTAATTGAATAAGGCTTGCAAATTGCAATTTTAATCTTTTGGTGTCGTGGATGAAACAAAAAATTCAACAAAAACTGAATCTTGTAATAATGTTTTAAAATCTTTAGGTGATGATTTAAGTAATTAATTGTCTTTATTTTTTGGCTTTTATTGTCATCATGATTTTCCATCTTGTTGAGTGGGATTATGTGATATATGAGTGAGTAAATATAATTCTTTTTTTAAAATGAAATTAAGCATATTGCATCATTGCCAATATTTTATTTATGATTTAAAGTAACTAATTCATAAGTGTCAAAGACACTATGTTTTTAATGTCAAATATAGTTCAAATAATAATTAATATGATTAAAAATATAGTGTTAGTTAATAAAATCTATAAGATATTAAAATACCAACAACTGGATAAGATTCTAATCCCTTTTCATATTGTTTCAGGTTTAAAGTAATTAACAAATCACCAATTCTAAGGGATAAAGACAGTTGCAAAGGATAAAGATCAAGAAAAATAAAGAATTAATCAATATTAATTCTTATTCAGCGAGCTGATCCAAATATTAAAAAGCCCAATTTATTTATTTAAAAGGACACATTAGGGCTTGTTCTATTTAATTCGGAAGACGGAGGACATCAGAGCTCATGATGGCCGCGGCTTAGGAAAGGGAAAAGCTTCGTTCTGAACCTGAAGAGCGGAGAAATGATCAAAGCTTCACCGTGGAGACCGAGTTTTATGTTTCTTTTATGAATTATAGTTTCTTTTTATCTCTTTCTTTAGTTTTCTTGAATATGTTAGGCTAGTTTTCTTTAAGTAGTTATGGCAAGATGAAACCAATGGTTTCTTGAACGTTGTTTGCCTTTCTTACTATTTACCTTCTTGATTTGAAGTTATGCATTCAATATGTTATTTATGCTTAGTTAGTTTTATTTATGACTTGATCATCGTAGATAAACATATGAGTCGTACATGACAACAAGGATGTTGGTGTATGATTCTGATTGGTTGATTGCTAGAATTTGTACGATCTAGAGTTAGACTTATGAATTCTATAACTGTATGTTCTTGCGTTAATGCTTACTTTGTGAAAAAATACTAAGGGATTAGGCTTTTGAGTGGAGTAAAGGATTGGATTACCAAGGGATTGAGGTTTAATCGAATATAGAAAGAACTGTTAATAACTGGATCTTGAATGTAATTATAAGAATAGGTAAACTAGTTTGAAAACCATTGGGGAAGTTAAGTCCTAGCTATGTCTTTTATGAAAACTTAAAATCAATTTTCTAGTATTTATTAATTCTGAATTTCTTGAATATTTGAAAACTAAAAATAAGTAGTTTAAAATTATGTTTTAATTAAATTAAAATATTCTTCCTTATGGACCCATATAAGGGGCCCATTAAGTGATAAGCCCAATAAGAGGCAATCCAAGATTTGAATCAGTAATGATTACGGTTAGATATCCATCAAGGATACTAATCTTAATACGATAGCGGTTAATTTGGTATTCAGTGGCGGTTTAAACAGCCAACAAATTTTACTCTGTCGATTATCATAATTGACGTAGGAAATGGGGCCGCTATACTTATCAGTGTTATTCAAAGTCGGTTTCCAAAACCGGCGGTATAAGCGCCGTTAGATTCCTTTTAAGATTTACAAAAATCGACGATTTAAATGCCGATATAATTTTAAGAGTAAAAATAAAACATTAATAGCATTTTTATAATCAGATAAAAAATAAATAATTCTAGTATTAATCTCATGAAATTATAAATTAAAACATAAATAAATAAATGAAAATCATGTGTAATTTCAATACATCAATTTTTATTATTTATATTATTATCCTCCAAAATAATATAAAAAAAATACTTTTCTCAATTAAAAAATAAATTATATACACACAAATAAATACAGGAAAATGGTATGATAAATTTTATTACTAACCTAATAACCATATATAATAAGGGAGATGCAAATTAAAATATAACAATGAGAATCTGCACTTGCATCAAAAAAATATGTGCAACTAAGAATAACTTAAGGCAAATTAAAATATAAATCATATGTCAATCTTTCTGAATAACTTAAGCCATCCAACTAGAGGTTCCAATGAAATGCAAGCTCATTAAGTTAAAACATAAATCCTGCATGATAATAGAGGAAACATATATGTTAAAAATCACAAAACACCTTAATGCAAGTAATATGTTGTAACAAGTAATTGGAAAGAAATGTTTACTTCAAAATTCCATTTAATACGTTCATCCAAAGGTTTTTTTTCTAGTGCTTCATTTTTACCAGATACGGAGGATTAGGGGTGGCAATTTGTGTCCCGACCCGGACCCGACACGAAATTTTCGTGTATGGGTCAACCCGTTTAATAAATGGGTCGTGTTCGGGTTGGAAAAAAAATAACACGAAAAAATCGTGTCGGGTTACGGGTTAACCCGTGAACCCGCTTTGACCCGTAAACCATGATATAAAAGGAAAAAAATACCTAGGTTTCAATTTACTCCAAGGCT